GGCATTTTCTTCCGCTGTTATTTACAGAGAGAACCCCTGTTTACACAGGCTGAGAACCGCCTACCTCAGCCGCCCCCTTCACCTCCCTCCCTCGGCAGCTCTGTGGAGGGAGATGTTTTCCCTGTGTCTCAGGAGTTTCTGGGACACTTCCAGGGGACAAGTGTCTCCCTGCAGGTGGCCCAGCTGAGCCCAGGCAGAACACAGCTCTCTTGCTCCCAATTCAGAGCTTTCCTCTGCCCAAGCCAGCTGTAGGCCATCACGCCCTAGTCCTGAGCTGGAGCCAGGAGCAAAGCCAGCCTCGGTCGTGCACCCTGAACGCGCTGGTCTTGGCTGATCTCAGGAGCTAAGCAGGGTGGGGCCTGGTTAGACCTCGGATGGGAGAAACAGCCGGCATTTGGGGTGGGTAGAGGGGAGGTCTTCTCTTAAAATCTCTTGTATTGGGGCTGGAGCAATAGTACATCTGGGAGGGCGTTTGCCTCGCATGCGGCCAACCCAGGTTTGATCCCCGGCATCCCTTATGGTCCCCCGAGCACCACCAGGAGTAATTCCTGAGTGCAGAGCCAGAAGTAACTCCTGAGCGTTGGAGTGACCCCAAAAGAAAAAAATCTCTTTTATTAATATCTGTGTTTGTTTGGTTTCGGGGCCCATTTCCTTCCTTCCTTCCTTCCTTTCTTTCTCTCACCTTTTGGGTCACACCCGGAGATGCACAGGGGTTTCTCCTGGCTCATGCACTCAGGAATTACTCCTGGCTTTACTCAGGGGACCATATGGGATACCAGGAATCGAACCCCGGGTTGGCTGCGTGCAAGGCAAAAGCCCTACCTGCTGTGCTATCGCTCCAGCCCCTCTTTCTTTCTTTTTAAATGCAGGAGTCCTGCTATTTATTCAGCCATTGATTAAGCTGATTGAATTGGGCATGAACTCCACATTACTTTATTTTTTTATGCAGAATGTTAATTTTATTTTATTACTGTTTTTTAGTCACTGTGAGATCCAGTTACAAAGCTTTCCTGTTTGAGTTTCAGTCATACAATGATCGATCACCCAACCCTCCACCAGTGCCATCTCCCACCACCAAGGTCCCCAGTATCCCCCCTCCCCCCTCCCCCTGCCTCTATGGCAGACAATCTCCCCCACACTCTCTTTTGTATTGCTTGTTATGAGTAGCATAAGATGCCGCAAGAGTGGCTGCATCTCCTGAAACTCCAAAAGTCCAGATAATCAGGGTCGGGAGAAATCTCTGCAGCAAGCCGCTTGGTCGGATCATGGCCCTTCAGGAGCTTAAGTAGCGGCCAGAGGCAGCTTGTGGGCATGACCTCCAGGTCCCATGGAGCGGGGAGGGTGAGAGGGACCTGCCCATTCCCTATCCCTTGAGGCCTGGAACTTGTCGTCACTGAACTTGGGGGCCCATTTCCAGTGGCACTCAGGACTGACTCCTAGCTCTGCATTTAGGGGTCATTCCTGGCGGGGCTTGGGGGACCCTGTGGGCGGTTGGGAATGAATCCCAGGTCAGCCACATGCGAGGTGAGTGCCTTACGCATTCAGCCTGCCTGGCACCCTTGAAGGATGAGGACCAGGGGAGGTAAAGCACCAGATGATGCACCGAGGGTGGGACGCTGGCTGGACAGAGCAAGAAGGCGCCATCTGCAGGCCAAGAACCGAGGCCTCAGGAGAAGCCAAAACTGCCCACTCCTTCCTCTGAACTTCCAGCTTCCATAACCAGTAGGCAGGTATTGCTGTGGGTTTGTTTTTTGAATTTTAACTTAAAATTTTTATTTTTATTTATTTATTTAAAAAATTGAATCACCGTTAGAGGCACAGTTATAAAGTTGTTCATGATCGGGTTTCAGTCATACGACGTTCCAGTGCCCGTCCCTTCACCAGCATACATTTCCCACCACCAAATGTCCCCCGTAAATCTGTGCTTTAACCTGCATCTCTGATGGTTTGTCAGGACTGCCAGAGGGAACTGATGAGCTCCAGAGAGATCCCACCTCCGGCTGGTCTTTGCCTCCCCAGCCCAGAGGGCCCTTCCCTGACCTTGCAAGGGGAAGGCGGGAAAGCCAGGGAATACCTTCTTGCATATTGTCCCTGTGCTGCATGACAGACACAGGCGACCAGGGCTGTCCCATCACAGGTTTTGACTAAGGGCAAGTGGGATCACACTCCCTCTGCCCACTGAGCCCAGCTGCAGCTCAAAATCTGTTCCTTAATTTTATTGAATTACGGGGGGGGGGGGGGAGGGGGACTGGAGCGATAGCACAGCGGGTAGGGCGCTGGCCTTGCATGCGGACAACCCGGGTTCGATTCTTCCGACCCTCTCGGAGAGCCTGGCAAGCTACCGAGAGAATCCCGCCTGCACAGCAGAGCCTGGCAAGCTCCCCGTGGTGTATTCCATGTGCCAAAAACAGTAGCAAGTCTCACAATGGAGATGTTACTGGCGCCCGCAGGAGCAAATCAATGAACAACTGGATGACAATGTTACAGTGTTACAGTGAATTACAGTGAGTCACACCAGGGTCTACTCCCGACTGTGTTTAAGTCCCTGCTGATTCTGCTTGGGGGACCCAAGATGATGCTGGGGATCGGAACTGTGTTGTGCAAGGCAAGTGCCCTAACCCTGGACCCTCCCTCTTTCCAGCCGGAAACTGTTACTTCTGAACAGCACAGTTTGCTTTTCATTCCACCTATGGAGAAAATTCTTCCGCGGTGGGAGTGAGTGAAAGGAAGCTGACAGCCAGTGGGCTTCGGGAGAGAGGGCTGTGTCGCCAGGGGGGTGGGTTTCCACCGTCTGTGCCATGCCGGTGAAAAAGTATACTTTGGATTTGTGCAAACGGACTGTGTGTGATTTTACCTCTTGGCCGATATTGGTCTCCAGGGAATCTTGAAATATTCAGGAGGAACAGAGTTGGTGTCTGTGACTTCCTTGGAAACGCACCAAAACTCCAGATTAACAGATGCTGAGTGGATGGAGGGATTCGTGATAAAGCATGCAGAGAATGATATGAATATAAAATCAATGTAATCACTAGATAATCTTAAATTGGGGGAGTATATTTGGAACTTGATTTTTGATTTGGCTTCGGGTGGTTCCTTGTGGTACTCAGAACTTACTCCTTTGCTCTGCTCTCAGGGACCATTCCTGAAGGGGCTTGGGGGACCATATGGGGTGCGGGGGATCAAACCTGGGTCAGATCCATGTAAGGCAAGCAACCTCCTACTCTAATACCTCTCTGGCTCAGAAATTTTAATAATAAGAACTTGCCTTCCTCTTTCCTCTCTCCTTTTCTTCTTCCTGTCTTTCTCTTCCTCCTTTAATCATTCATATAAATACTTCATCATAATACCAGAGAAAACAAATGTGCAATAACGTTGTTACATATTAATAATAAGATGTTGGGATTGGAGCATAGGGTAGCTGATAGGGTAATTGCTTTTTATGTGACCGAGTTGGGTTCTATCCCTGACATCCTATATGGTCCCTCAAGCACTGTCAAGCGTAATTCCTAAATGCAGAGCCAGGAGTAACCCCCGAGCATTGCCGGGTGTGACCCAAAAAGCAAAACAAGCAAGCAGACGGAAATACGTTAAAGTTGCTCACAGTCTATACAACATCATGTTAAATAATAAATGAGGTTTAGTTATGCTTTTTATTAATGGTATATAGGGTTAGTGTTGCCAGATTTAGCAGTCTGGTAACATGACTGGAATTCAGAGCTGGGGAGACAGCCCCAAAGACTAGAGTGCATGTTTTATATATGGAAGCCTCCTGGTTTCAATCCCTGTCATACATGGTCCCTGAGCACTGAGCTTGGAGAACCCTTTGAGCACTGTTGGGTGTGACCCCCAACCAGAAATAACAAAAACAAAGCAGCAACAAAAACCAAAATAGAACATCCAAGCAGATTTGAATTCCAGATGAACAATGACCGTTTCTTTAGTTCAAAGACACCCCAGTCAATACTTGGAACATTATCCAAAAAATACGTCAGGGAAATTCTATACTTTAAAATTCATTATTTTCATGAAATTCAAATTTCACTGGACCACGTGTCACTCGGGAGTGTGGAAATAGCCCGACACTTCCCTTAAATGACCTTACGCCCTTCACTGTTTCTTCGCCCGTTTCCCCTGCTCTCTTTTCCCTGTTCTAGGACCCCGTGCATCACCCCAGGCTGCATCCAAGAGCTCTGAGAAATAGGGCGTGGGGGCCTTTGAGACAAACATCGAGAAGCGGAAGTGCTGGGGAATATGAAGCTTTTTCTTGTGTTTTTTTTTTCCGGAGGGGCCATATTTTTCATATTATTTTCCAAAAATGGATGGACCCGTCAATCCACCCCCATGAGTAGATGAGAATTCCCTCCCCCCACCTCCGTGCCTACACAGATCGTTTTTGTGCTTGTGGTGTGTGCCATTCTCACTGATGTGACATGATATCTTATTGTTTTGATTTGCATTTCCCTTATGATCAATGATGCAGAGCATTTTTTTTCATATATTTCTTGGCCATCTGTATGTCTTCTTTGAGGAAGTTTCTGTTCATCTCTATTCCCCATTTTTGGATGGTTTCTTACTGGTTCAATTTTACAAGTGCTTTTTTTTTTTTTTTGCTTTTTGGGTCACACCCAGCGATGCACAGAAGTTACTCCTGGCTCTGCACTCAGGAGTTACTCCTGGCAGTGCTCGGGGGAACAATATGGGATGCTGGAAATCGAACCTGGGTCGGCCGCGTGCAAGGCAAACGCCCTAGCCGCTGTGCTATCTCTCCAGCCCCTTTACAAGTGCTTTACTGGTATTGTAAATCATAATGCTTAATTTTTTTTGCACAACACTGCAATTTATTGTGTTGATATCATTGCTAGTTACACAGCAGCCACTTTATCCCCAAATCCATGAGGTCCACACAAACTTTTTCAAGTAAGAAACAAATAGTATGTTCAAAACTATAAGGAAATAGCCTGATACACAGGTGGTGAAGACTGGTTAAGTGAGTCTGCACATTATTTCAGGCTGTTGAAGAGTTTGTGGGTTACACAGTGGTCCCGTGCATGCAAGAAGTCAAAGAGCTCCTCAGTGCACCCCTCCTCTGTTTTTGACCTGGACGACACACGCTGGTCACACACCTCTAATCGCTCCTGAGCCTTTGCACATTTCTCCAGCTGCTCACACTGACCTCTCACTTTTGTTAGGGAATCCACTAATTCCTCCTCCTCTTCCTTCTCCTGTGGGTCTCCGGACCCCATCAACATCTCGCGCTCATCCTCCAGCCCCATGTCCAGCATCAGCTTCAAATTCCAGGAGCTGCACTTGCGGCCACGACTCCACTTCACGAGCAAGAAGCCATAATGCTTAATTTTTATCTTTTACTTTTTTTGCTGTTTTGGGGGTTGAAGAGATGGTACAGCAGGTAGAGTGCTCACCTTGCACAGAGCAGTCTCAGTTGCCATCCTGGCATCCCCCTGTGGTTCCCCAAGCCCTCCAGGAGTGATTTCTGAGTACGGAGCCAGGTGTAGCCCAAACCTACCTCCCTTGCCCCCCATCTCTCAATTTTTTTTTGTTATTTTGCTATGGGGCCACACCTGGTGGTGCTCAGGGCTTCCTCCTGGCTCTCTGCTCAGGGATCACTCATGACGGTGCTGGGGAATCCTGTGGGGTGCTGGATATGGAATCCACGTTGGCTAGATGCCAGGCAACTGCCCTACCCACTGTACTACTGCTCAGATCTGATTCCGACTTTTTAAAAAAATTTTTTCTATTTTAATGAATCCCCATGAGATACAGTTACAGACTTACAAACTTGCATGATTTCGTTCCAGTCATACAATGACTGAGTGCCCATCATCCCTCCACCCGTGCCCGTTCTCCACCGCCAATGTTCCCATGTTCCCAGTGTCCCTCCCCCCACACCTCCCCCTCCCCCCCCATGGCAGGCACAGTGTGACCTCAACTTTTTGAAAGCTGCTGAGAGGGAGTCTGTCTTTCCCCACACCCCGGGTGACTTTCCAAGACCTTTGCTGTGACCATGTGACGTTTCACAGGCTCCTGAGAGAACCCAGGAAGCCAAACGCTTCCTGGCAAGCTCCCATTTGCTCGGACCCCGGGTGCCGGTGGGGGCGCCCCTCCAACCCCTGAGCAGGACTATTTATTTCCTGAGCAGTTGCCCTGTGGGGCTATTCCGGACAGATCAGGCGCTGGGGAGGGCAGACGCCTCCCTCGACCTCCTATTCAACATCCCCTGCCCCCAGAGCTGCCAGTGGCATCGGGTCTGTGCTCTGCAAACGTTTACCCAATCACTGAGCCAGAGGCGTGTCCCCCTCCAGGTTCTGTCTCCCTGATTCACTGGTTTGAAAGTTCAATTTTTACTTATTAATTCTGGGGGATTTCAACCTTAATTTTATTTATTTATTTTCCCTTTTGTGGGGAGGGTCATCCCTGGTAATGCACAGGGGTTAGGCCTGGCTCATGCACTCAGGAATCACTCCTGGCAGTGCTGGCCAGGGGAGTGGGGGTCTATGGGATGATGGGAATCAAACCCGGTCATCCGTGTGCAAGGCAAACGCCTTACCCTCTGTGCTATCACTTCAGCTCCCTATTTATTCATTTTTAATTAAAACTTTTTTTTTTAACTAAAGAGCCATGCTTGACAAAATGACTGGGTTAGTCCTACCAGAATTCACCAACCCTTCCACCAGTGCCAACTCCCCTCCACTGGTGTTCCCAGATTTCCTCCCGCCCCACCCCCCCCATCCACCCCTGCATTACAAAGTTCCAGTGGTCACCAGCTTCGACCTCCTGTTCTCAGTTTTATGGAGTCTGTGTTTTGGGTATACGGATATACGGCTCACTCTTATCGCTTGTATAACAGATGCTCCCCCCCACACACAACCCTGTGCCTGCTCTGTTTTAAATCAATCAGGTAAAGAGGCCAGGCTGTGCCATCAGTGACACCCCCAACACACACACACACACACACACACACACACACACACACACACACACATTGGTCGTTTAAGAGAACAAAGTTTGGGGCTGTAGCGATAGTACAGCAGGTAGGGCCTTGGGCGCTGCCGACCCGGGTTCGATTCCCAGCATCCCATATGGTCCCCCGAGCACGGCCAGAAATGATTCCTGAGTGCAGAGCCAGGAGCAACCCCTAAGCAATCCTGGGTGTGACCCAAAAAAAAGCAAAAGCAAAAGAAAACAAAGTTTATGGGGCTGGAGAGAGAGCCCAGGGGCCCTGCTTTGCAGGTGGCTTAAATTCCTGGCACCACCCATGGCCCCCTGAGCACTACCCTTGAGCATCAAACTGGGAATAAATCCTGAGCACAGTGTGAGGCCAACACTCCCAAATTAATTAAAAATGAAATGAAGCTTGTTTTCTTTCTCTTGCTGGCTCTGTACTAGGAAGTGTGTGTGTGTAAGGGGGGTGAAGTGGATAGGTGGGGACTCAGGGCCCCACACTCTAATAGACATTTCCTCAGACAGACGTTCACACACCTCAGCGCTGGCACCCCAGCCCCCGTGGCCTGGTACAAAACCAGGAAAGATGGCGTCTTGCCTCCATTTAGGTGGTTGTTTTGGGCTTTTTTATTTTGTTTTGTTTTGCTTTGCTTTTTGGGTCACACCTGGCAATGCTCAGGGGTTCCTCCTGGCTCTGCACTCAGGAATTACCCCTGGCGGTGCTCAGGGACCATATGGGATGCTGGGGATTGAACCCGGGTCTGCCGCGTGCAAGGCCAATGCCCTCTCCGCTGTACTATTTTGATGTCTGTGCTATGGGCTGCTCCCAGCTCTGGCCTTGGGGGTCTCTCTGGGTGGTGCTCAGGGGACCATGTGGCACTGGGGGTGGAGCCTCGGTCTCCCACATTCAAAGTGGCCTTGGGGCCGAGCCGTCCTCCCAGCCCCTGCATTTTACTTCCTTTGTGCATGTTTTGATTCTGGGAGGGCCACACCTGGTAGTGTCAGGGCCAACTCCCAGGTCTGGCTCAGAGATCACTCCTTGAGGGGCTCAGGGTGCCAGGGACCGTGCCCAGGCTGGCCGTGTGCAAGGCGAGCGCCTGCTCTCTTTCTCTCTCACTGTCTTCTAAGGAAAATTAGTTAATTTATGTATTCTTTTTAATTTTTATTTATTTATTTCTGTAATTGAATCGCAGTGAGAAACACAGTTACAAAGTTGTTCATAATTCAGTTTCAGTCATATAATGTTCCAACACCCATCCCTTCACCGGTGCACATTTCCCACCACCAATGTACCCAGTTTCCCTCCCATCCTTGCCTATGACAGGTCTTTTTCTTCTCTGTCTCTGTGTCTCTGTCTCTCTTTCTGTCTGTGTCTGTGTCTGTCTGTCTGTCTGTCTGTCTGTCTGTCTCTCTCTCTCTCTCTCTCTCTCTCTCTCTCTCTCTCTCTCCCCTTCTGTGCATTATGGTTTGCAGTACAGACACTGAAAGGTATATCCCTTTTCCTACTTTGCAGACTCAGTTCCTGTCCAGAGCGATCATTCCCAGCTATCACTGTCACACAAACATGATTGCACTCTACCTCTTAAAGACACAGACGCTTCTGCTGAAGTCCTCCAGAGAGAAGTAGTTACAGTACCTGCCAGGGCTTCAAGGATGCTGGGGGATGTCATCTTTTGGGAACGCGCCCCTCGAATGGGGGGACCGGAAGAGGGCTTGTTGGATCATGGCTCTACATGCCGTAAGTTTACTTTTACTGCCCTATACACACACCTCCCTCCTTCCACAGGTTGGCACAACATAATTATTTTTTAAATTATGAGCTAGAGAGAGTACAGGGGTTGTCTGATCTCGGTTCAGATCAGTGGACCCCACACAGGGTCCCCTGAGCATGGCCAGGAGTGAACCTTGAGCACGGAACCAGGAGTCAGCTCTGAGCACCGCTGGAGGTGGCCCTCCCAAAAAAAGAAAAAAAGTTAATTAACGGGGCTGGAGCAATAGCACAGTGGGGAGGGTGTTTGCCTTGCATGTGGCCCACTCGGTTTGATTTCCAGCATGGTCCCCTCAGCACCGCCAGGGGCAGCTTGAGCGTATGAGCCTGTGCATCTCTTTGCAGCCTTGCACCCAAAAACCAAAAAAGAAAAGTTGATTAAAAAATCCCCACACGCAAACAAAATTTCAACTGGTGCCTTTTCAGGACGTGCGGCCAGGGTTCAGAGAGGAACAAAGCAGATGAGCCATCATCTCACTTTCCGCCTGGCTCTGGGCAGCGTGCACTCTGAGTCATACTTAATTCCCTCATTCCCAGGCTGAACCCTTGAAAAGGTCCTAATTAGATTCTTAGAAGAAATCATTCCCATCAGACACACACAGGACAGCAGGTTGCCCGCAGAGCTAACCGCAGGCTGGGAAAATGCAATGAGAAGGCCCATCTCTCCAGGGACGAGATCAAGAGGGAGGGGACAGGGCATGTGAATTCAGAGTGGGTGCCGCACCCCTCGGGGAGGGTCAGCGCCGTATTTGCTCCTGGGGTGACTCTGGAGAGAGAGGGAGAGAGAAGCCTTTGAAGGCAACTGGAAGGACACTCTCTGTTTCAGGGTAATTACGTTTCAGAGAGTTCTGGTTTGTGGAAAAGCGTGTTTTACCACCCCAAAAGCTGTATACCGTGGGGGCTTCCAGAACCATCTTTAGTCAGTCCTTTGGCAGAGTGACAATCAGGCCTCCTGGGAGAGCCCAAGACATCTTTGTTTTCCTGTCTCTTGATTCTTCCCCAGGGACTACACAGGGCCCGTCAAAGTGGCATCAGAGCTCCCCCGGATGGGGAATCATTCTAGAACTGCCCACTCCAAAAGGCAGGTGAAGCAGAGCCAAGTTTGAGATTTAGCTTAGTGCAGCGGAGCACAGCACAACTCTAGGGGGTGCTGTTGGCAGAGGCTCTGTGGAGTGGTGCCTCCCCAGTGGGGCAGTTGATAATCCCATTCTATTCCTGTTGAAGAAAGCAAGGTCTCTTGTTCCTCTTGTTGTTGCTACTTTGCAAGTCTGTAAATTTGTCGGACTCTCTCAACCAAGATGATTTCAAGGTTTCCATAGCTTTGCAAAGTGTGCTTCCTTTTTTTTAATGCTTCCCCCTTTTGGGGAGCGGGAGGGGTCACATCTGGCGGTGCTTGGGATTTCTGCTGGCTCCTGCCACGTTCAGGGGACCAGGTGGGATGCTGCGGATGGAACCTGCGTCGGCTGCATGCAAGGCGAATCCCTACCCAAGGCCTGACCCACCGTGCCATCACTCTGGCCAGCAAAGCATAGTTCCTGAATGCAGAGCGTCGGATTTCTGTCACTTTACTGGCGCCCG